AATTACTACCATCTTACGAAACACTTTCTTGAGCCAAGCCAGGGCTTGGCAGAAGGAAAGGTGAAAATTTTCTTGCCACCTCTCCCAGACTCTTTGTTAAGCTGTAGGCAGTATCAATAGAGACATCCTGCACAAACAAGCCTCACCACTGAGGGTCAGGCTGTGGAGAGACCCAATGAAAAGAGACAGCTCAGAAACCTTGGATTAAAGGGCAAAGTCCAATATGCAATTCAGTTTTAAATGAGGCAAGGTCTTGAGATAACAAGAGCATACTATCACTAAAAATAAGAGTTTCCAACAAATAGGGTCCTTACTGACTAAAGCTCTATGCCAGTAGAAATTCCTGGGACTATGAACATGTTCTGTGTCTGCACTGTCCAATATGGTATCCACTAACTACACATGGCTATGGAGCACTTGAAATGTGGTTAGTACAAATGAAGGACTGATTTTTAATTTAATATTAATAAAAATAGATACCTAAGGCTAGTGGATACTATATTGAACAAGGTAGGAAAAGGCTTAGACTATGACATGGGAATGATCTAAGAGGTTATCACATGCAAAAAAAAAAAATCTTACAGTCTTCTGACCATCTGGAAAAATACTTTCTCAGCGTCCTCCCTGCCATCACAAACCACAAGAGCAGTGCTTTTCAAATTATAGCATCCATCAGAATCACCTGGAAGTCTTACTGTAAATTTTGTGGGCATCTCTAACAATTGTGGGGACCAGAAATACAGCAAGGCTGAATCAAACCTGCCAGGACAGTTCACATCTAATTTCTGCATTGGCCTTGTCTCAGAGTCAAAATGAGGCTTTCTATTAAAATAATGTAATTGCTTCAGGTCTAGGTGAGGGTTACCACCTCTTTCACCATTCCAACACTGAGTTCTAGAAGAGTAGCAAAAGAACACATGTTATATTAAAACCTTTTATCACTCAAAAGGCATGTTTAAAGATAAACCCTTCCCATATTCTCGAAGAGAAACAGAAATAAAAAGGTTCTAGAATAAAAACATTTCTCCAAACATTCTGTGGTCTTTATTGTATTCCCCACAAAATGTTTTAGGATCAGCAGTCATTTGGGAGGGTATATTTCTTTTCAGGGTTACTTTTTTTAAAAATTTAAATTCAAGTTAGTTAACATACGGTGCAGTACTGGTTTAAGAAATAAAATGATTCATCACTTACATCTAACACCCAGGGCTTATCATCCTCCTTAATGTCCCTCAACCATTTATCCCATTCTCCCACTCACCTCCCCTCCAGCAACCCTCAGTTTATGCTCTATAGTTAAGAGTCTTTTACGGTTTGCCTCCCTGTTTTTATCTTATTTTTCCTTCCCTTCCCTATGTTCATCTGTTTTGTTTAAAATTCATGAGTGAAATCATAGGGTATTTGTCTTTCTCTTATTTTGCTTAGCACATAATATACTCTAGTTCCATCCATGTTGTTGCAAATGGCAAAAATACTTTTTGATGGCAGAGTAATACTCCATGGTGTGGGTGTATACACACCACATCTTCATCATCCATTCATCAGTCACTGGACATTTGGGCTCTTTCCCTAATTTGGCTGTTGTTGATAATGCTGCTATAAACATTGGGGTGCATATGCCCCTTCAAATTAGCATTTTTGTACCCTTTGGATAAATACCTAGTAGTACAATTGCTAGGTCACAGGGTAGTTGTATTTTTAACTTTTTGAGGAACCTCCATACTGTCTTCTACAGTGGCTGCACCAGTTTGCATTCCCACTAATAGTGCAAAAGTGGTCCCCTTTCTCTGCATCCTCATCAACATCTGCTGTTTCCTGAGTTGTTCATTTTAGTCATTCTGGCAGGTGTGAGGTAATATCTCATTATGGTTTTGATTTGTATTTTCTTTTAGGGTTACTCCTTTATGTTCTTTGGTCTACTTATACATGAGTCATTTTTTTTTTAAGATTTTATTTATTTATTCATGAGAGACAGACAGAGAGAGAGAGGCAGAGACAGGCAGAGTTGGAGAAGCAGGCTCCATGCAGACAGTCCGATGTGGGACCTGATCCAGGAACTCTAGTATCACACCCTGAGCCAAAGGCAGACACTCAATTGCTGAGCCACCCAGGGATCCCTACATGAGTAATTTTAACATTAAGAGACCACCCCATCAAGAATAATTCCTTAGATGTGGTATACGTACACATATGCACACACACACACAAAATGGAATATCACAGCCATAAAAAAAAAAAATCTTGCCATTCATGACAATACCTAGTAGGTATTATGTTAATAAGCAAAATACATCAGACTGAGAATGACAAATACTCTATGATTCCACTTATGTGGGAATCTAAAAAACAAAACAAATGAATAGACAAAGTAGAATCAGACCTGTAAATACAGAGAAAAAACTGCCAGAGGGGAAGGATAGAGGAGGATGGGCTTAAATGGGTGAAGGGGAGAGGGAGATACAGGCTTCCAGTTATAGAAGGAGTAAGTCGAGGGAATAAAATACACAGCATAGGGAATATAGTCAATGCTATAATAATAGCATTGTATGGTGACAGATGGTAGCTACATTTGTGGTGAGCATAGCAGAACATATAAAGAAGCTGAATCAACGTTGTACACCTGAAACTAACACAACATTTTGTGTCAACTATATTTCAATTAAAAAAAAATTTTATAAAACAATTTCCTTGACTTTTCTTCTCAACCTTCTTTCTGCCCCCTTCACTCCCCCCTTTCTTAACTTTCCAAATGAAAGCCCTCATTCAGAATATATTGCTACAATGAATAAGGGCATGAAGCTTTCAAATAAAATCAGAATCAGTACTGTTCATTATTTCCCCCGCCACTAATGCTTTGCCCTTCTTCAAACTTCCAATATTTCTCAGTTAATACTTTTACAAGAGTGATCCTTGGGTCCTGGAAATTTGGGGAAACAGTGTTTCTTCACATTATAGAGCCCCCATATAGTCATACAGTACTACGTACATCACTTCCTTAGGGGCTGAGTTATTAATCCGGTGTTTCTTTTGCAGGTAGGGAAACTATCAAAGTCAGGCTAAATGGTTAAAATGCAGTCCCAGAAAAACTCAGACCAAGATTCTATCCCTTCAGCAGTATTACTTCAGCAGTGGTTCTCAACCAGGCAATTTCCTACTCCCAGGGCACATTTGGCTTTGTCTGGAATCGTTTTTTGACTGTGGGGAGTGCTACTGGAATCTAATGGGTAGAAGCCAAGGACCCTACCAAACATGCTACAATGCACAGGACAGCTCCCACCATGAAGAACTGCCTGGCTCAGAATGTCAACAGTGCTCAGATCCTCTGGCAATTCTAGCATTACTTTCTTTGGCCCCCTAATGAATAAAGAATGGTTCCCTCTACAATTTGATCCTTGTACAGTATTTACACCGAAACTTGCCGTCAAGTGCCATTTCTGGCATTCTATACTTTTTAGTTATTTTAAAAATACAAGATACAGGGGGATCCCTGGGTGGCTCCGCGGTTTAGCACCTGCCTTTGGCCCAGGGCGCGATCCTGGAGTCCCGGGATCGAGTCCCGCATCGGGTTCCCGGCATGGAGCCTGTTTCTCCCTCCTCCTGTGTCTCTGCTTCTCTCTATTGTAAATAAATAAATAAATCTTTAAAAAAAAAAAAATACAAGATACATGGGATCCATAGAGGAAAGTGAAGACAGCTAGTAAAAGCTGGTTTCTTTCCTTTAATGAGAAAACCTAGCAAAGACTGGGTTTTTGCAATAGCAACCTCCAGGCCCTGAGCTGTGGTCTGTATCTGGCTGCTCACCTGGACTCTTCGGGTGTTGACGAGCTTTGCAGCTGCCTTTTCTCTGCTTTGCTTATCTCTAAGCATGTGCATCACTCCAGAGCAGTAATGATGTATGCTTATGGGAATCTCCAGATATCTACAGCCCCTAATTGTCTATTCTGTTCAGTAAATTGTACTCATTACCGAGCCATGTGAGCCACTGAAGGATATCAGCCTTTCTTGGGTACCCTCTGTATGAGCCTGAGTAATGGGATATTATCTGCCAAGGGCTCTACAGTATTGAACGGAGATGCTTAAAACAATCCTCCATACAGTTTTTCAGGTGAGTACCTTTTTTTTAAACCTGTCTCTTTCCTAACCATCCCTTAGCTCTGCTTAGATCTGTATTAATTATAATTTTCTCTTCAAGGAGTCTGCTTTTAGTTTAAGCTCTTAAAGCCAGGAATCTCAGAAAGTTATGATGTCCTTTCAACCCATCCTTCCTAGACCTCCACTTGTACTGTGGGAAGGAATCCCAAATAGTAAATTTCTCCCTCTGGCCTCAAAAATCATCAGCACAAATGAAAATCCAAAACCAACTTTGATTATAATGCTCCCAATACCCACATCCATTATACTAGGGACTGCAAATAGAGAGACGTGAATGGACATGTAGCTTCCCATGAAACTGGCTAAAATAAAATGAAACAGACAGAACCACATGTCTGCTAGTGTTATTATCCAAAGTGGGAATCATTAATTCTCTAGTAAGTTGTTTCCTTCCTGGAAAAAAAAAAAAAATAATGATTAATGAAGGAAGAGTCAAGCAAAGTAAGCCATGGAGGAGGAAGATGCTGGGAGAGGGAAATATATGCCAGCAGAGGTAACACTAGGATACTGCTACACAAAAAAAGGCAATCAGGCCTGATTCCCTTCCCTACTATGTATGTCAGGAAGGTCAACCAGCTCCTCCCATGTAAATCGCATTCTGTACAAACTCACTGAAAATTCCTCTGCTGAGATACTTCCATGCATAGCTTCTATCCCATCACCTTGATGAATTTTCTCTTCATAATTGTTGATTTGTATGGTGTCTACAAGTTGAATCGATAAGTGCTTCTGGGAAACTTTTAAAGACACAGCATTTCATTGCACTGACTCAAAGAGGCTAGTGAGACAAAAGCCTCTAAGACTTAGTAAAACCAGAAAAACAATGGCAGAGAATGCCTTTGACTTACCCTGGAGTAAAGGGTGTGAGAGCCTTCAAACGCACTTACATCCTCATGACCCATCAGCTCTGCTGCTTTTCACCACTCACTCACTTCTGCATGTTGGACCACCATTGACTGATCACCAACTGCCAAAGACAAAAAATAAACGAATGCATTAGGCCAGAAGATCTACAACTTCAAATCCAGAGCCACCGCTCAGGTGAATTTGTGAGTGCTTAACACATAGACTCAAATACATAGAACGACTCAAGCCCAATAAAAGTTTATCTCTGGTTCCTATATACATACTGAACAAACAGGTCAGTCAGTGGAGTGGTTCTCGCTGACACAGTGATCCAGGCACCCAGCTAACAAATGTTCTGCCATCTTTTTCAAAACTTGATTTAAAAACAAACAAGCAAAAAAAAAAAAAAAAAAAAAAAAAAAAAAAAAAAAAACAAACACAACCTGATTTCCAAGCTTGCCTTGGGAATCTTCTCCATTCCAGCCAGCCAGGAGTGGAAAACATCATGGAAGCTCACATGGGCAGTTTCTGTGTTTTTTTCCTGGAAATGAATGTGACACTCTTGCACTTCCATTCATTCTGGTGGCCAGAATCAGTAATACAGCCACACCTAAGGCCATGGGCTGCTGGGTTGCTAGTGGTTACTATTTATCAGATAAGTTGGCTCCAGCCCAACCAAGACGACAACACTATAGATAACACTGTTTGGTACAGCATTCTGGGTAAGAGGTGAGCACAATAACCTTGACTTACTTAACAACTGAGTCTTAGTTCCCTGATTCTTTATCTGTAGAATACCTCTTTGCTCACAGAATCAACGTGAGACTTCAAATGAGACAAAGCAGCACTTCTCAGACTTTAATGCGCACATATAGCAACTAGGCATCTTGAAATGCATTCCAATTCAGTAGGTCCTAAGTGAAGCCTGAGAATCTGCATTTCTCATAGGCTACCAGGTGATACCAATGCTGTTGTTCTCTGACCACACATTAAGTGAAAAGGAGACAGAATATTTTTGTAAACCAGAAAGTAATTTGCAGATATAAAGAATTACCTTGGCACCAACTTTGATTATAATTCCTAAGTAGCCAGCACTTTTAGGAAATGCTTAGTGGTACCATATAAAATTTCATAGAATCACAGGATTTTAGACATGGAAAGAATTTAAGTGATCACTATCCCCTCTTATTTTCCAGACAAGGAAATAAATTCATAGATGTCAATAATGCCCCCCCCCCAATCTCACAATTAATTAGCAGTGTACTGGGAATAGAATGTAGAAATTTTTTTACTTTTTTTTCTATTACATAAACTCAATTGATAGCCTTCCGAAAAAGGGTAATTTTCTTCTGCTAAAACAAGAACAGATACTACTCTGGCCCATACCCAAAAAGGTACCAGAAGGTAGCATTCACCAGCTTGGGTCACCATGGTACTAAGTGTAGGCAACGTGACACAGAAAAGACGTTAGGAAATTTTCAAGCAGATATTCTTTATAATGTAGTGATCATCACCAAAGTTACGTTTCACATGTCCAAAATAGGACTTGAACACAAATTAACTTCTGTAAATGCTCTAGCAAAAACAAAAATACTACTATTTGGAGGACAATTAGAAAAAAAATTTGGGGTTGCAAATAGTAAAGAGAAATAAAATTATTAGCCAACATGCAGCAGTTTCTATGGTAAATCTTGAGGACAAAGAAAGGAACCTTAAGATTTTTTTATCCCTGACATGTATGCTATTTTTGCATCTCTGAGATCATAGCAAGTCCTAGGAGCTTATAGTAACAAACAGTGCAGTGGAGGACCTCAAAAGTGAAAAACAGGAGTCAACCCCCAAGTCATAAGCCAGAAAAGCACTGACTATCTGGAAATCAAATCAGGCTGGGTGAGAAAGGAGGTTCTTACAATTCATGTCATCTTCAATGAAGCAACATGAATATGAAAGTGTTTTGATGAAATCACGAGGGAGTACTTACTGGGCAAGCAATGATAAATGGAAATCAATACTTGCACATCCATTATTAATTTAAAATGAATAAAATACTATTAGCATCTTCATTTTGTGAGCCACTCTAAACATTTTAATAAAGGCAAAAGGTTGTAAGAACTTCCATAGGTTTACTTCTATACTCTACCCCCAACTTTCATCCACTATCGTGTCTTTAGCTCCTCAAAAATTTTCCCATCCCGGCAATTTTCCATGACCTACCCTAGATTCTAGAATTTCTACCCTATTTTTGTGCCATAGATTCTACTCTCTTTGCCCCTTACCCAGCTTTGGCAGTTGTTAAAGCCTAAGAAACTCCTTCTCAGAATATGTTAAATGTTATAGGATTACAAAACAAGCCTATTATATGGACATATTTCTTTCCACATAGCACTCAGGTTCCAGGAACCTAATATAAGAATATCTGATTGGTAAATGACTCTTCTAGGAAACAGTATGCAAAAAGTTTTAAAAACACAAAGATGCACATAAAGAATCCCATGCAGGATCAGTCAGTGAAGAATGAGCTGCAAAGAAAAGCGTGACCTTGAATTTCTACCCAAACTCAATATTATTCATGCTGTGGCTTTAAAATGCCACATTAAGGAATTACTCTGAGACTTTTCTTGGCTCTGGCCCTGTAGACACAGCATATTCTGAGTCCTGATGGCAACTGGAGAAAGGCAGCTTTGGAAAAGGAAAGATGGAGATGAGTTTGAGCTTTGTTCCTAGTTCTCTGACCAGTTCTCTACCACTGACTACTTCTGTTAGCTTGGTCAATCACTCAGTTCTGAGTTGATACTCTGCCTATAAAATGAGAAAGCTGAGTTAAACCACCTTTAGGGTTTCTTCCAACTCTGAATTATTAGGATTCTAAGACAATACACAGTCATTTTTCTGGGAAGAAATATTAGTGAGATTTCTTTTTGCCCTAGGCTCACAGTATGAAATTACCTTCTATATGAGAATTTTTCAGAGGCTTCAGAAATACCTTACGAGTCACCCTGCCACAGAATAAGACTTGGAAGAGATTTTAAGACATGCACCACCCCAGCAATCCCAGTGATCAGGTGAGAAAACGGAGGTTCAGAAAGGCAGAGATTTATTTGAGGTAACATAATGAGGCAATGTTAATGGACTGTTGTAACTACTGCCATCTAGCACCAGCAGGATTTTAGGATTCGGCATTGGTAGTAAAAACCAGCTCATCAGTTCTTTTGGAGACAGAAATAAATCTCAAATAAGCTGAGCCATAGGGAGGGAACTGCACGAGAAAGCAGATGACTGGGGTAATGACACCCAGAGGCAGCATCCTGTAGCACAGGCAGGGTCAAAACTGAGGTTCTCATATAGATTGTAACTTCACTGACAAAAGTACTCACCTCTTTCAAATATCATGGCTACAAAACCCATCTCAAAAAACACTAACAAAGAAAGAATAGCTCTTTCGTAAGAGGAGAATAGATAAATGAATTCTGGCTAACAATCTTAATGAAACCAAAATTCAAGATTTGAAAAATAACAATCTTGAAAGGACAGCATTAGCTAAGAAAAGCTTAAAACACTTGTTAGGAATTTCCAAGTTTTAGAAGAAACTGATTCAGAATAACTTTGACCTACCTGGACAGCCCCACAGTAAAGTAACAACTAGCACTGTTGTTACTGATACTCTGACCACTACCTTCAGAGCATGTAATTACTGAATATTGATCAGGTTTAAAAGTCACATGTATATTTCCATAGTCCTGTCCATATATAGACTAGTTTTATGTGCAAAGAAAACCATGAAATTGTGAATTTTGACTGAATCAGGATTTCACCCTCATGTTCAATTAACCAACATGTATGCCAAGAGCTTTTAAAGCCTATGATAAAATGCTTAATTGTCAGTTTACCCTCTGCCTTTTACCCTCTGCCTTTTACTACAGCAAAGTAACTGTACCCATTCCTCAATCCCCACAACACACATTATTCATAACTAATATAAACAGTTCTGGCTTCAAAACTTTTTATTTCCCTTTTTTTTTTTTTTTAAGATTCTTTCTGAGATAGCCTTTCAAAATCTAAAAGCTACACATTACTGGTTTGCCAGCTCTGTTTCATCTCCTTCAGGAATTCTAGAGACAGCAGTGCCATCTACCGGTAGGGAGGGCACAATTTATTTCTGGAAGCCTATGGGCGACATGAGCCAAGGACCTGAAAGAATGGCAGGCTAGATTGTGTCTTTGTGAGCCTTCTTTTCTAGAACATGTAAGAAACATAACTGATGCTTACAACCTGAGAAACAGAATCTCGGCAGCAGTCTCCATCGTGAAGGGCAGCGCCTGTGGAAGCCACATAAAGCCCAGCCAGGCGAGCCAATAATGAGCTCTGCCTGGAAGTGTCTCCTTAAGACTCCAAAGGCAAGCAATAGAACCTCACTGAATTAAACATTTCCAGGCTCTCCTCTTCCCCCAGTGCTTCTGTATCAGATGATCTCACTCCCACCTGTGGCAATGTTATCCCGCTTAATCTTACAGCATGCGTCTTAGCAAAGGTGCTCAGACTCATCTCAACGTGAAGGCTCTTATATTTACACAATGTGACACAGATCCTGCTCAAAGGACACTATTGCTTAAGTATGCAGGTCGGGCTCTAATCTCTCTCATTTGCTCTCCATCCTCCCTGTTCCTGACCCAGGGGACAGAAATGACAGAAAGGAAATTATTTTGTTGTTGCTTCGAAAGCAACACTAGTGGGCTTTCATTGAATCAGAAAATAAAACCTTATCTTATAGGTCACTGAGATACACTGCTTCCCTCAAAATGAACTAAGCCAGTCAGTCTTTCTCTTTTCCCTTGTATAAACCGCTCTCTTCCAAACACTAAACGTAAACATACTATGACCTTTACAGAATTCATATAAAAATGACATTTTTCTAAATATAAAGGCATATCTTCTCAGTATACCACCTACTCCACCTTCAGAATTCTTTCTCCCCTCCCCCCACCATCTTAAAAAAAAATCAATAAATTGAATCATTCTCACTAATTTACCTTATATTCCAATCTATGGGATGACAATCTATAGTCACTTTACTAGGGTCATTTGTTACATTCCCAAAAAGCTTTGCAGCAACTTTACTTTCATTATCTCAGAAAACCATCAAAAAGTTGATTTGCTATAGCTGATAAATGTCCCAATTCCCCTAATAAATTTAAGTGTTCCTTCTTCACTTCGTTTCAACTTGCCAAGCAAACGGATTTCTTAGTGAGTGTGGGCATCTCACAGGCATGAGGTGTGTCTTGCGTGTCTGAAAAATCAGAGTTTCCTAAAGAAACAAAACTTTGCATGTGGGCAGGTAAGAGTAATAAAAGGGCTTCGAAGGAGTCTCTAAGGAATCAGGGAGAGCGATTCTTCTCCATCTCACACCAGAATAAGTTCCAAATAGATCACGCTGAAACTCTGATATCGGGTAGAAATCTTCCTAACGACCGAAGAATCGTTTCTTACCAAGCAGACTACCAGATACACCCAACAAATAAGTGGAAAACTGAAAAGACTTTTTAACATTTCATTATAAGATATACGGTATGCCCGTGCTATTACAGGTCTGGGGAAATAGAGGAGGAGAGCAGATGCCTTGCACACAACCTCCCTTTTTAAAGTATGACTGAAAGAAGACATCCTTCCATCCCCAACACACAAATCGTTTTTGGAATCCAAATGGTCTTTCAACAAGCACTTTTCAAAGAATTAAGGAGGTCTGAATAGGTGTAATTTACACCAAGCCTTCCCTTCTCCCTATAGGCCATTAACAGGCTCAAAATAATTACTCTCTTCAGCAGCCCAGAAAGACCTCGGTTTACAGAGATCGCTCCCAGCCCCCCCCCGCTCCCCCTCCCCGGCGCCCCTCCAGCCCCTATCTTCTTGAGGAGAATCTCAGTGTGATGGTCTGCTCTGCAGTTCACTGCAGGCATTTCCCTCCTCACAATTTACCAGTCATCAGTTTCTCTGTATCTGTAATTCCTTATTGTAGCCTCTCAATTAGACCTGCTCCTCATTCAGACCAGTGCCCAACTGCTTTAAAATTAAAAAAAAAAAAAAAAAAAAATTTTTTTTTTTTCACCTCTTAACGAAAATCTGGACTCCCTTGGCAGGCAGGCTGAAAGCGTTCAGTCAGGTTCGGTGCCACTCTGGGGGGAGGGCCGGCGTACAGGTCCGGAGAAGCCTTCTACGGGCAACACTTGGGCTCGGTCCACGGGTCGTGCCCCCTCCCCCCCCCCACGCCCGCCCGCACAGCTGCGCTAGGAATTCGGCGTCGCTCGCCGCCGGATTAGTTCGAGTCCCGCGGCTCGGCTAAAGTGACACATTTTTCCCCCCTTCCTCCTCACATGCGACAGGTCCCACCGCATTAAAGCCATCTCCTCCCGGGCCCCAAGCCCAGGTCCGGAGTCCGCTGATGCCCCCGCCCCACCACGCTCACCCTTTACCTGGGGAGGGGGCCCGACCAGCATCCCTCCAGGCGGGAAACAAAGGCAGAGACGAGGCTGCCGGGGGGGGGGGCAGGGGGCAACTCCCCTCGGGCGGGCTCGTCACCGTGGTGAGGAGCGGAAGGCGCATGGAGAGGGCAGGAAAAGGGAAACCGAGGCACCGCATGGGGGTGGCTGAGCCCGAGTCTGCAATCTACCCGAGGCAGAGCTCCCGGGGCGGACCCCAGACTTCACCCTTCAATCCCGCCCGGCCCTGCCCACCCAGCTAGTCCGCGCTGGCGGCGGTAGGGGCAGGGGGAAGCCCCGCCGCCGCGCTTACCTCAGGAGAAGCGCTCCGGCTCCCTCCGACGGCTCCGGAGAAAGCCCCGCCGCTCGCGCACGCGCACTCGCGCTCTCGTGCCTTCGCGCCCCCGCGCGCGCCTCACAGCCCGGGCTCTGCCCCGCCCCGGCCCTGTCCGTCAGAGTCCGCGAGAGCCAATCGCGGGACAGGACAGGCCCGGCGCCGGTCACGTGGCCTGGCCAGCCAATCACCAAATTGCCCTCGGCAGCACCCGCTCCGATGTCCCTGGGGCTTCGGTTGCTACTGAGCCGAGCCGGTGCGAGGCCGGCACAAAGGGCTGAATCTGTTTTCCGGAGCTGTTTCTGCTCGATGAATGAATGAATACGTCAACTGATCTCTGAAATTCTAAATATTAATAGCAGTCACCTGGATATCTTGTTAGAAGGAGGATTCTGATCCAGTAAATCTGGAGTGGAAACCCGAGTTTCTGCCTCACTAACAGGCTCCAGATGGTGATGGTGATGCTCCTGATCTAGGACCACGCTTTGGGTAGCAAGATTTTAAGGGCACCTGTCGGAAAATGGTTATAGCCCTTGTTCCATCGTATCTGAAAGTTTGACAACCTTTTCTGTTACTTCCTTCAGTAATGGAAAGCATTCCAGGGACTCAGGAAACATGGGGGGCCCTGATGACATTTGTAATTTGGCACTGGCTGAGGGAAAGGGCGTTTAATTCCCATGTCACCTACCCCTAGTCTGTGGGGTAGCAATCTCTGCCAACTTGATGGCTGGAGTGTGGAAACTAGAAGTAGTAGAGATCACTAGGTTTACTTTGATTCTCAGGTATTCAGCATGTGTGTCTCAGTAGCACTGTGCTAGACCCTTGGTCAGAGTAGGCACATAAGTAATTTTTGCTTTCTGGAAATTTACATTCTGACATAAAACTATACAGGCAGGCTCAGGAAGAAGCATATAGGAAAACCATGCAGGGAGCTGTCGGTCTCAGCATCTTGAACAATTCAGGCACAAGCCAGAGAGTTTGTAAAATAACCTACCTTAGGGATCTTAAAAATTGCCTAGACATCCTTCGGCCAGTAATACCAGCGTCTGGAAGTCAGGGAGCCCATTGCTTCTCTGCCACCTCTCAAAACTTGACCTAAACCTCAATGTGTTCAGCCCTGCGGGCTAGAGCCTTTGTTGTTCAGCAGAGTCAAGCTCCTGTTATCCAATAGCGTACCAAGGTGCTTCAAAGGCCTAAGTGCTAAATTCTCCAAAACCTTCCTCCCCCAGCTCTTCAGACCAGGTGGTATGGCTCTGCTTCCACCAGTTTTCTGTACTAGTCAAGATGATCAAACTGCCACATAGAGAAAACTTCACCTTTGTCAGTGTGTCTTGGCCCTTTCTGGCTTATCAACTCCAGGAGTGAAGCCCTATTAGCAATCTTTGCTTCTCACAGAGTCTGCATCAGAGATGGCTTAGCACAAAATCCAGAGTTACAGGGACTACATTGAACCTAGAGCAACAAAGGTGCTGGCTATATCAAGAGTAAAGAAATATCTAATCAAGAAGAATCTCTTTAAAAGTCTCAAAGTTTCTTTTGCTATCCTTAAACCACTGTATTTCATGCTGGCTGTATAGTAAAACTTTTAAGGAAATAGATTTTTGGGTCCTGTGCCTAGATATTCTTTTTTTTTTTTAAGATTGATTGATTGATTGATTGATTGATTGATTTAAGACAGAGACATAGGCAGAGGGAGAAGCAGGCTCCCTGTGGGGAGCCTGATATGGGGCTCAATCCCAGGACCCCGGGATCATGACCTGAGCCAAGACATTCAACCACTGAGCCACCCAGGTGTCCCCAGTCCCTAGAGATTCTGATTAGGGTAAGGACTGGAGCCTTAGCAACTGTATGTCCTAAAAGATCTACAGGTGGTTTGTATCCAGCCTTGCTTGAGAAAACTGGCATAAACTGCCAGATTGATGGACTCATTCTTTAACAAGGGAAAACCGATTCTGCAACACAAATTACTAATGACATAAAGACTCTGGAAAGAGGAAAGTTTCCACATAATTTGTGAGAATAGATTTTTTTAAGGCCAAAAATAATTCACAGGTAATAGATACTCCAATCCTATTCAGTGGAACAAATTGAAAAGCCATGTCCACAACTAGGTTTAATTCCAGTTAATTAACTAAATATTTTTTTAAAAGAACCTATCACCTTTTAGCCACACTAATCAACTCTGTTGATATCTTCACATGTTTTATGCTTTTCTTACCTAAAAGCAAATTTCTATGTGAGTATTATTAAGAATTACTCTCTAAGGCTTTTCCCAAAGTGCAACAGAATAACCTGGAGTATTTGTTAAAATGCATATTCCCAGCAGCCCTGTCCTGAACTTCCTCTAGCCTCTCATGTAACAATTCTGAAGCTGCACTAAGTTACATTTGAGCCCAATTTACACCTCCTGATACAGAACATACATATTATTGGCAAACCCTCAAGTAAAATAGATGAGCTATTAGTTTAGTTTGCCATGCTAGCTAAATAAAACTTATTTTAAAGAATTCCAAGAGATTCTTTATTCTTTTTCCTGGGTTTTTGCCAAGTTCTGTCATTTTGTGAAATAAAGAGATTAGTGCCTGGATCTTAGAAAGCTGTTGTTGGGCAGCCCGGCTGGCTCAGCGGTTTAGCGCCACCTTCAGCCCAGGGCCTGATCCTGGAGACCTGGGATCGAGTTCCAAGTCAGGCTCCCTGCATGGAGCCTGCTTCTCCCTCTGCCTGTGACTCTGCCTCTCTCTGTCTCTCATGAATAAATAAATAAAATGTAAAAAGCTGTTGTTGCACAGAGTTTTCCTATGGAGTGATATTTGCAGTAGTGGAGTATGACCTAGTTTTTAACTGAATTAGTGAGGTCCCTTCAGAACACTGTTCCAACAAGAACCACCTTGCTCGGAAGTGACTTTATTTGTCACATCAGAAAAATGGAAGCCTAATGTAGGAGCATACAAACTAGCTTCCCTCCTGCTCTGACACTTTTAAAAATATGTTTCACAGTATTCCAATAGGGTAGAAACTTTTCTCACCTTGTAACTTGTAGCCTTATCTACTGAGTAAAATAGGACAGTTTTCACTGATATTTAGCATGAATAATGTAAATTTTTAAGAAGAAAAAAGCATTTATTTTTCTCTTTGTGACTGTCATCATTACAAAAAAAAAAAAGCAACAAGAAACAAAGAGATTCATGCTTGAGGTTAAGAATTTGAAAAAAGAACATCCAGGCTGTCATTAATTTTTCTGTTTCTCAGTGGGCCTGTTTCGCATACATAAACTGGCTATCCTATCTCAGGAAACGGATATGTGTGTATCTGATTTAAATCATGAATTAGCTTCAACAAGTCCCCTTTAACCCCCAGATATTGCTTAGAAAGAGATTTAAGTTTTCTTGAAAAGAGAAGAAATAAGATGAAAACCTCCAAGTCTCCAAGAATCTACCCATTGCTCCATTAAAGATCAGAACCCCTGTAGACTCCTTTATAATTGCTAATTATGTTTTAATCTCACTATAGATAAATAGTATCTCTAAACTTAATTGATTTCAGTCATGAGGACCCAATATTACACAAGATTCTAGTCTTCATCTCTCATGTAAATCTGGTCAGGATAACATTTTATATCTATGTATCTGTGTTTTAATAACTGTTACCTTTTTGAGGGGAATGCCTGGGTGGCTCAGTGGTTGAGCATCTGCCTTAGGCTCAGGGTGTGATCCCGGGTCCAAGGATCAAGTCAGCCATCGGACTCCCTGCAGGGAGCCTACTTCCCCCTCTGCCTATGTCTCTGCCTCTCTCTCTGAGTCTCTTATGAGTAAGTAAATAAAATCTTAAAAATAACTGGTACTTTTTTTTTCACTCAGCATAACTGTGTAAAGATTCAACCTAACATACTGGATATCTTTTAGATAAGTTCACTTTCTTTTTTTTTTTTTTACTTTCTTTATATTCTCTATAGGATTTATTCTATAATTCATTCTATAGTTTATTATACACAAAGAATATAAATATTCTTTTTATATTTTTTATAAAATAATCATATTTAAAACATATGTTATATAACAACATACATATTGCTATGGTATGTCTCTCCATACTTCCCCCAACTTAAGAAATAAGACATTTTTAATACAAAGAGTCCATGTATTGCTCCCAACAAATTGTTTTAGATGAAGATATCACGATATCACAGTAAGCTTTGCTACAGAAGACAGAATGGTTTATGGAAGGAAATACTGTACTGTATGCATATAATAGAAAACAAATGTAAATGGGTAAAATTTTTACTGAATATTTGGAAGTTCCAAAACTGATATAAAAAAAGATAACAGAGGGACGTCTGGGTGGCTCAGTGGTTGGGCATCTGCCCTCGGCCCAGGGCATGATTCTGGAGTCCTGGGATCAGGTCCCACATCGGGCTCCCTGCATGGAGCCTGCATGTCCCTCTGCCTATGTCTCTGCCCCTCTCTCTGTGTCTCTCATGAATAAATAAATAAAATCTTAAAAAAAAAAAAAGATAACGGAGCTGGAAATTTCAACCAGTCCAATACCTGTGTAATATAATTACAAGAATGAACCTGGAAAGCAGGGAACTTTTACAAGATACTACCAATAGTTTGGAGCCAAGAGATGAGGCATCAGGTCTCATTCACTCCATGAAAACACTACATGTTCTCTTCTTTTAGCTCATTTTGACAGAAATAAGCCATCACAATTCACAATAAAAAGTGTTATGTTGCAAGTGAGTCTCATAACACTATGAGAAATCACATAGAAGGAGCACCAATTCTGATTAATGAAATCAGAGAAGGTTTCTGTAAGAAGTGATGCCTGAACTGAATTCCAAAGAACTTGTAAGAGTTAGCTGGCAAAGGGCTAGGAGCTAGGTGCTCCAGGACTAGCAATAGCCCATACAAGAGTGTAGAACACTGAGAATGAGAAAGTAGTTTAAATTTGACCAGATGTGAAAGGGGAAGAAAGATGACTGAGATCAGAATGAGAGGAGGAAAATGCATGATATGCCAT